CCCTTCTGCTGCCTGCTCTGTCTTCTAGTGAGGAAAAGCCCAAACTAAGCGGGCTTACTAGATGTAAAAGGTGGTTTACAGACAGAGCGAGCAGCAGGAGTACACACCCCAGCCGCTGGTGCCAGGATGAGGAACTTCTGCAGAGTCTGTAAAACAAATGATTGGTGGCCAGTGTCAGCATAAGCCACAGTCAACACAGCCTTGACCCTGGAAGTATGGAACTGAATACAAACATGACTCTGCCTCCATGGAGGGGTAATCTGTTAGAGAGTAGGGTAGAAGGTGTATTCACGAAGATGATTTCAACCCGCCCTATGCAGCCCGACAGACTTGGCTCACACAAATGTACGAGGCCTCCTACAGATAATTCCCCCCCTCGACTGATCCCCCGGGATGATACCCCTTGGAGGGCTGGTAGCCAATGACAGGTAAGATCCTGTTGGGCTGAATCAACCTAAGCCAGGACATGGACGTGTATGCCCATGTTCCAATGATGGGTAAGGTTCATGCCTGAATAGGACAACCTAAGACAGGCACAGTGCGTGATCCTGGGGTCATCCCGAGGCAGAGCTGCCTACAGGCTCTCGCTGGACAGTAATTTTTAAAGAAAAAGGGTGGAAATGTAGCAGGAGGCCTCCAAAGATGGCGGACCCAGAGCCCTGGGATTCAGCAAGAATTCACTTCACTTCTTGGTCCGCAAATAGCCAGCCAAAAGGAGCCCACACCTCCATACCCTGTTCCTGAGCCCAGTGACTGCTGACAGACTGCGTGGCAGGACCAAACAGAATACGATTTGCTGACTAAAGGGACTTGGGGGCAGAGAAAAGGGAAATATAAGGTGTGCCTCCTCCCGCATTAAACGAGTCTGCAGCAACTCGCCTAGTGCTTGTTTCTACCTGACTCCCAGGGTCTGTGTGTCATGACCCCATGCCTCTTGCCCCCCACCCCAATCGGCAGGGGACCTGATCCAGGTTAGGGTCTTTACAGCTAGCCTGAGGAGAGCCCGCAACAGGAAGGCAGTTACACACATAAAGTCCCTTAGTCAACACGGGAGCTGCAGGGACAGTAACAGCAAGGAGCTGGTGATGAAGGGCTTCATGAAGGAGGTGCTGGAGGTGCATCCAGAAAGATGAGCTTGATGAAGATGGGTTGGGAGGAGCACTGGGTATTTCAGGTATAGTGAGAGAGAGCTAGTTGTTGGCAGAATAACTATACCAAGCCAGACCCTGAACATGCAGTGGGGTGGGAAGAGCCTGAATGAGGTGAGTTGGGAGGGACACACAGTTGAATCTGAGGACACTAGAGAAAGCCTATGTAGCACTGCAGGTGAAGGATGGAGGAGGCCTGGGTGGGGACTTTGAGGTAATGGAGATGAACAGAGGAGGAAGACCTAGTTTGGATGTTGGTGGCCAAAGAAGGAAGCCAGGGAAAGAAATGGATGTTCTGGGGAAGCACAGCATAGGGCTAGAAGTTGGATAGCAGTCTCCACTTCCACACCCAGAATAGACTCAGCATAGCTCAGGTCCAGTGATGGAGACAGGGTACAGATAGGGTACCATGCCCCATTAGGACAACAGCGAGGAAAGGGCTCAAAGAAACCGAAGGGTTACCAAGAAGGGGTTATGTGGGCATGGCTAGCTGCCTGAGCCCAGTCCCAGAGCACACTGAAAGCTCCATGTAGCAGAAGAAGGAGTGTAAGCCACCCCTACTCCCAGTCCAAGTGATGCATGGACACCAAAGTCAGCCCAATAACTGCCCCGAAGCTGCCCACATCCCCAGAACCCATGAGCAGATTGCCTTGCATGCCAAAAGGGCCATTGCCATGGCAGATGTGATTAAGTTATGACCCTGACATAAGGCGATTATCTTGAATTATCTGGTGAGTCCCCTTAATCTTGAGGGTCCTTATAAATGAGGAGCAGAAAGAGTTGATATAAAAAGGACCCAAAGAAAAAGAGATTAGGAGATGCTGCACTTTTAGCTTTGAAGATGAAGAGTGGAGGCTCCAGCAGGCTGGCATCAGTAATTGGAAAAGGCAGGGAAAGGATTCTCCGCTAGAGCCTCTGGGAGGTTGACACGCAGGCCCAATTCAGCTTTCTGACCTTGGAATGGTAGGATAATTTTTGTTTTAAGCTGCTAAATCTGTGGTGATTTTTCACTGAAGCATCAGGAACTAATAAGGGTGAATATCTAACTCATACTTGGGGGTTTAGAGGACTCCTTTTCCTCTTGGTCACCTCTGGAAGTTGGATTCTCCTGATACCCTATAATCTGATTGGATTGCCAGGGCAAGTTTTGCTGGAAGAGAGGAGAGTAGGGTGAGCTCTGAGTCACCCACCTGAATAAAGAAACAGCCTGACTCTTAGCATTTAAGGCCAAGAGAACTGCCAGTTCCTTCAGATGTCTCACAGAACTGTGATCTTGAGTCAGGCTTCACTCATACTTTCACTGAAGCAATATTTCCAGCCTTAGTTGGTGAAGTAGAAGCTTGAATCTATCCTTATCTTATCAAAGAATCCTGTCCTTTAATTCCCAGGTCTAAAAATCTCACTAAAGGGGCTGGAGAGATGCTCAGAGGTTAAGAGCAGTAGTTGCTCTTGCAGAGGCTATTCTTGCAGAAGACCCAGATTTGATTCCCAGCACCCACATGGCAGCTAGCAACTGTCTATAACTCTAGTTCTGGGAATCCAAAGCTCTCTTCTGACCTCCATGGGCATTGCAAGACACAGGTGCACTTACACACATGCAGGCAATACAGTCATACACATAAAATAAAAATAATAATAAATGAAATTTAAAAAAAAATCTCACTCACACCCAGAATTCTCAATTATTCTGGTTGTTTTCAATGAGAATAACACGCTGCTTCCAGCACTTTGATATGTTAAGCAAGCACACCCACATTCAGTCACTATCTTGGGTATAGAGCAAAATGGGATCTTGAGGGATTAAGGTCATATGCTCAGGTCACAAGAACACATGGATAGGTGAGTTTCTTTACATTATAAACAGTAACTTTTTGGTTGCAAGGTTAAGTAAATGTCATAATCTGCCATTCATATTATGTCTATCTTGTTTAAAATATTTATTATTGTTTATGTGTAGGAGTGTTTTGCCTGTGTGTAGGTAGGTGCACCCGTATCGTACAATGCCCACAGAGGTCAGAAGAGGGCGTCAGATTCCCTGGAACTGGAGTTACACAGGTTGTTAGCTGCCATGTGAGTGCTGGAAATCAAACCCAGGTCCTCTTCAAGAGCAACCAGTGTTCTTAGCTTGTGAGCCATCTCTCCAGACCCCAGATTATGTCTATTTTGTAAAAGTCATTACTACAGAGGGAAATTCCAGATGTAACCTGGTTCACTAGGAGATTGTAGGAATGAGGTAGTATGGTCACTCTTAGAGACGACTGGGTAAAGATACTGCTTTTAACCACTGCCCCCATTCAGATCCCAGAAGGAAAGTGCTGCTACCCCTACCTGTGGGCACAGAAAGCTCTGATACCTCCATCTCCACGAAGTAAAGTAATCTCCGGTTCACAACTCATCCCACCTTGCCTCTAGTGATCCAAAGCTCCAGCAGGGCAGAGCCTGCCCACCATCTTGTTTACCCTGCATGGCCTTCTATAAACCCTGTACCTCTTAGAACCAGCCAAAGTTGGACATTATTTCCAAGACTGTAAAACAAAACCAAGCCATCTCCCTCTATCCCATTTCTTCAGGTCCTCACTTAGAGATGCCTCAGGGTCTCAGAGTTCCCCTTCACATCCTCCCAAAATTGTTCCAGCAAGGAAAAGGTGCTTATCCTAGGGCAGGGACTCACAGGAACTACAGAAGACCCACAGTGTGCTTAGGTAAGCTTCTAGGTCAAGACTGGCAAGGCTCCTGATAATCACCATAATGATGGTATACAGAGAGGACCCAGGCAATGACCACTTCAGTCATACTGTCACCTTAAATAGTGGCTGTCATGCACTAGACCACCATTTAAAAGCCCAAGTAGTTTTATTTTATGTGTACAAGTTTACCTGCATGTGTGTAAGTGCACCAGTGTCATGAAATGCCTATGAAGGCCAGAAGAGGGCATTGGATCCCCTGGAACTGGAGTTATGAATGGTTGATAGCTGCCAGGTGGGTTCTGGGAACTGAACCTGGGTCCTCTGCAAGAGCAGCCAGTGCTCTTAACTGCTGAGCCATCTCCCTTACACACTTTATAAGTCACCATTAGGCCAGTCTGGATTCCAAGAACCTCTGGTGCGGGCATCGACCTTCCAGGGTTTGTAGCCCAGGCAAGGAGATGATGGCAAGCTCTAAAGTGCACCCCCTTACACACTTTATAAGTCACCAGTAGGCCAGTCTGGATTCCAAGAACCTCTGGTGCGGGCATCAACCTTCCAGGGTTTGTAGCCCAGGCAAGGAGATGATGGCAAGCTCTAAAGTGGCAAGTGGGGTGGAGCAGAGGGGACTGGAACTCTGGAGGTCCAGTCCGAGAATCGCACTCTCAACTCCTGGTTATTTTGTCCACTGAGAAGGTGAATAAATAAATCAAAGTGTTGCACCACTGACCACTGCCAGGGAGAGGCAGGCAGGTCCTGGGATCCCAGAAGGCTCTCTGGAGGGGAACCCGGATTCCACCTGGAGGAATCGCAACACTTGCAGGACCCGCGGAGGGAGGAGGCACACTTCTAGCCATGGGCACCATTCAAGCCAAGGCCACCAGGTGTGAGGGGCCAGTGCGAAGCCCACAGTCTGATGCTGGTGGAGAGAACTTCGCTCTGCCCTCAGTGATGGGGTGAAGTCAGTCATCCTTGCCCCCTACCAGGCTCGGAGCTGCAGGAGGCCAGCCGGGGGAGCCTCTGCACCTGTGTCCTGGACTTGCCCCGCCTGGAGCCCGCGTTTCTGGGCTAGTACAGGCATATCGGAGCCCCTCCCGGGCCGGGTGGGGCGGAGTCGTGGCCTGGGCCTCTGGGTCCCTGCCTCCCCAACCTCCCTGGAGCACACAGTCCCACCAGGCGACGTCGGAACCACCCTGCGGCCGCCGCCGGAGACGTGCAGATCGCTAGCAGGATCAGCCCCATGGAGGGTAAGTGGCCTCGCCTTCTACCCCTACCCCTGCGCTTAGGAGAACGCTCTGCGCCACAATTCCAGCATTAGCGTCCTCCGAGCCTGACCCCTCCACTCTCCGGACTGGCGTGAAGAGCAGGGCTTGCTCTTGCAGATTGATGCGGGCGGAAGTGTGCATGTCCCTCCTTACCTCCCCACCCTGTCCAGACCCCGGAGCCTGGGAAGTCCCGTGCCTGCACGTGCCCACTAGTCTCGTTTACCTGCTCCCTGCAACCAGCAAGTGAAACCAAACCTCTAAGAGCCCTCGGTGGCTTCGGGCGAATGTGAGGGTCGGAGACACTGAAGAGTCCATATGTCTCCATTTATCACCCCTGCTATCTCCTCCTCCACCCGCCCCCCTCCACACACACACACACACACACACACACACCACTTCCCCACCTACTACCTTCTGCCCAAAGCATTTTCTTCCCTTGATACAAGACTGGAAGGGCAGGGGTTAAGGACAGCGCCCAAGGGCACATGGAGCCTCCCATCACGATCCAGGAAGAGCTCTGCTAGCCCCTAGGGGCATTCGTTCCTTTCCAGGCTTTCGCTTAAGTGTACGGTGTCCACACTGAAATCCACACTCAAACCTCATCAGGAACCCAAGGAAACTAGGAGCTTTATAAGGAGTTTGCTTTCTACACCAAAGCACAACCACATCCAAGTTCAGGGCCAGCTGTTTCCCAAGGGACAGCACTAAGGCCCCAGGGGAAATGTCTTTTGGGCTAAGACCAGAAAGTCACCTAATTCTGTGCCACTCCCGGGGCGGGGGGGGGGAGCACTGCCCAATCTTGCCCCCCCACCCCCTACCACCCAACTCCCAACCCGTAGGGTAGATGGGGGGGGGGTTGGCTTTCCCTAGCTGGCTCACAGCCTCCCTGGTGGTCTCTAACTCAGAGCAGCTAGCTTCTGTGATCGGGGGCATCGTTGGGGGTCTGCTGCTGCTGTTGCTGTTGATCGGAGTGAGCTGCTGTCTCTGGAGGAGGCTTTGTGCTACCTTTGCCTATGAGGAGCTACCAGAGACACTAGACTCAGCCACCACCACTGCCTCCAGCAGACAGGGGGACAGGTTCTGCCAGTATACCAGGACCCCACCTAGCAGGTGAGGTAGGATATGGAGCCAGGTAAGCCCTAGGCCTTACTCTAGGGACCTGCTTGTACACTTGCCCTTGGGGTAAGGTGGGAAAGAAATGTTCTGTTATGGGGTGCCTATTCCAGACCATCAGCATGCTGGGAACTATGCCAAGAAAAGCCAGAAACCTCACAACAAGGTGGAGGCAGGCATTGTGAACCACATTTTCCAGCTGAGGAAACTGGTTCAGGACATGAGAAGCAGTTCCAGAGAGCCCAACCAGGAATTAGAACCCAGACAGGCTGCTGTCAGAGGCTGTGTTCTGTCTCCTATGTCACACTGCTATTGGCAGACAGGCACAGGGTGTGTGTTTGAGGGGGGTGTTTGTGTGTATGTATCTGTATGTATGGGGGGGGGGCTGGTCTGTGTGGGTCTGTGTGCTCATCCTAGTTTAGGTCCAGAAAATAATGCTCTTGCCTCTATCTGGCTCCTGTGAGCTCTTCTCCCTCCAGCCCCTGGCACTTGGCCTCTTGGCTGAGCACTGAGGTCAGATAACTCACTTGTTACCTACATGTTGTTTCCCTCCCTTTGGACAGACCACCAAGTGTGCCATTTGTGGTACCCCCTTCTCACCAAGGCTGGATGCCTCTGCACAGTGGAGATTGGGCTCTGGCCCCACAGCACCCCTACCTAGCCCCAGAGCACTTGCCCTATGCCTCCAGTGCCAACAACCCTGGTGAGTACTCCCCAGACTCAGGATCTATCCAGTCAGGTAGATCCAACTGCTTTCACTACACTGGCCAGTTCACAGATGCCACAGTGCTCTTTATGGTACTTTTGTACCTGCTGTACCACATGCTCATGTGCTGTTTTGGAGTTGGAGCTCACTATGTCCCTCACTCTGTGGGGGAGGAATTATCACTCCACTTCACACATTCATACATACATACATTTATTTATTTATTTTTATGTGTATGAGTGTTATGCCTGCATGTGTGTAAGTGCATCCATGTCATGCAGTACCTGTGGAAGACTGAAGAGGGCATCAGATCCCCTGGAACTGGAGTTACACATGGTTGGTAGCTGCCACATGGGTGCTGGAAACTGAACCCAGGTCCTCTGTAAGAACAGCCAGTGTTCTTAACCACTGAGCCATCTCTCCAGCCCCCACACATTCATAAAATGAAACTCAGGAAGATCAGTGGTGCTTTGTCCAAGGTCACAGAGGGAGCAGGAGTTGGATACAGGGGCTGATGAGAGGGCTCAGGTGGCAAAAAGCATTTGCCATACGAAGCTGACTCCTTGAGTTTGACTCCTGGATCCCACGTAAAAGTAGGACAGAATCTACTCCGTGGTATTGTCCTCTGACTTCCACATGCATACCAAGGCACACACACATCATACACACACACACACACACACACACACACACACACACAAACACACATACAAACACATATATATATAATAATGATAAATAATGACAGGCATGTTGGCACACATCTTTAATCCCAGGACTCATAAGGCAGATGCAGCAGATCTCTGTGAGTTCGAGGCTAGCCTGGTCTATGTAGCAAGTTCCAGGCCAACCTGGAGTGAGACCCAGAGAGTTCCATGTAAGATTAAAATCCAGGTGTGTCCTGGTGTAGCGCTGGGGCTGAGTCCTGCCTGAGGATGATGGGTTGGCTGACCAAGAGGGCAGAAGAACAGGAGATGGAAACACAGCTTTGCAGTCAACTCTGCTCAGATCTCCCAGGAGACCTGCTAGTAAGTAGCTATCCCTTCAAATTTGAAGAAGAAGAAGGAGGAGGAGGAGGAGGAGGAGGAGGGGGAGGGGGAGGGGGAGGAGGAGAAGGAGGAAGGCAACATCTTATATCACTGCTCATCATTCCTTAGACACTGCAGGAAGTAGCCAGGCCAGGTGCTGGAGATGGTGTCCCAGAAAGCAAGCCTAACCTCCAAGAATGGGACTGATCAGAGGGGCAGATATTGAGGGGGGCAGACATTGAATGAGAGACCTGGACTCTGCCAAGTCACCCAGCCCACTTGTGAAATGCCTACAAAGCAAACAAGTCTCCCTGGGAACCTTGCAGCAGGAGGACACATGACTAGTCTGGAGAGTAGGGTACAGGTGGTTCAGACAAAAGGCTATGATGAGGGTACACCAAGAGCTAGCCACTGTCCCCCATATCCCAGTCTTTCTCTGGCTGGCCAAACCTTCCTCCCTGTTTTAGCAGGGACATATGTGGTAGGAACCATCAACCCAGAGCTGTACAATTCCCCAGAGGACAGGAGTAAAACCCACCTCCCTGATGGCTGCCTGGGCCGGCTGTGGTTCTCTGTGGAATACTAGCAGGAGACCGAACGGTTGCTGGTGGGCCTGATCAAGGCACAGCAGCTGCAAGCCCCCTCGGAGACCTGCAGCCCTCTGGTAAAGCTCCACCTGCTTCCCGATGAACGGCGCTTCCTCCAGTCCAAGACCAAATGCAAAACCTGCAACCCTCAGTTTGATGAGCACTTCATCTTCCAGGTACAGCCTCTGAAGCAGTGGGGTCCAGTGTCCTTAGGCCCCCTAGGAGGAAGCATTGCACGGGACAACCAGGCCTCCTGTAGACAGGGCCCTGTAGCCCTCCAGAATGCTCGTGTCTCCAACCCTGCTTTATCCAGGAGGCAAAGGCAGGATTTGTAAGAGGCAACCCCTGGTGAAGAAGGCTTGAAGGGACATGGCCAGAGGCTAGTCTCCTCCTGCCTGGCTTCCTGGGGAAGAGAAGAAAGAGAAAGCACATTTTGAAGTGCTCACTCAATGCCAGACCCTGGCACATGAGGCTCTGAGGAAGATTTTCAATACCCTGCAGTATGGGCAAGGTTATCAAAGGAAGGTGGGTATTTTGCTTTAGAAATGCCTTTAGGCCTGTTGGATCATGGGTAGGAATTGTCTGTCCTGGTGGAGGTGCCAGGGCCAGGGAGCCAACCATGGCCTATTGGTGCTTTGGCCACACCCTGGGTCTGGGAGTAGGAAAGACGTCAAAGTGCCAGGCTTGCAGCAGACTGGGAACCTCAGCAGGTGACCAGCAGACTTAGGGGAGCCAGCAATCAGGACTTGCCAAGAAGCCTTGGACAAACATTTCTCAAGAGCTGTGCAGCACAATGGCCTGAGAGGGAAAGGAAGGCCAGTCCACTTCCAGAAAACACGTGACTGCTGAGGCCAGAGTCGAGGCTCATGCCTTCCTTGGCCAGAGTCCTGGCTCATGCCTTCCTTGGAGGCTGAGAGCTGGGAAGAGGTGTGGCTGAGGCCCTCCTACAGGGGTGAGGGCTGAAAGAACTCACAGAGGAATGCCTGCTTTTCCTCTTTTTACTCCCCTACTTCCATACCACAATGTTTTTGTTTTCAGAGATTCAGTCATTTATGTATTCAAAATCAGTTTTTTAGTTAAAACTGGATGTTAGGAACTACTATATGGGTTTTTGGTGGGTATTTTGGGGGGAGGGGGCAGGGGTGAGACAGTGTTCCCTATAACCTCAACTGGCCTAGAACTCACTATGTAGATCAGGCTGTCCTTGATCTCACAGAGATCCATCTCCCACTTCCAACTCTTCCCAAGTGTCCCCATCATGGTCCCCTCCCAACTTCATGTCCTTTTTGTTTTTTCACCCACTAAGTCCAGTTACTGCTGCCCATATGCGTATGGGTGTAGGGCCATACACTGGAGCATGAGAAATCTTCCAGTGGTCACATGCTTTAAAAAAAAGAAGATGATGAGCCTCCCTCCCCCCTGCAGCTATCAACTACTCCTCAGTAAGGCACAGGGCCTAGAAAGCCCCTTTCCTATCTATGCCAGAATTTTTTAATGTTTTATTTATTGTTTTTTTATTTTTTTATGTGTATGAGTGTATTGCCTGCATGTGTACAAGTGTACCCATATCATGCAGTGCCCATGGAAGTTAGAAGAGGGCATTGGATTTTCTTGGAACTGGAATTATGGACAGTTGTTAGCCACCATGTGGGTACTGGGAATCGAACCTAGGTCCTCTGAAAGAGCAGCCAGTGCTCTTAACCACTAAGCCATCTCTCCAGCCCCCATACCGGAATTTTGACTGGATTGATCTTGTTCAGGTCTTGTGAAGGTAACCACAGCTGGTGTGAGTTCATGAGTGTAATAACTATGAAGTATGACTTTCACAGCACTCCTCCCCATCATCTGGCTCTTACATTCTTTCTTCTTCCTCTTCAGAGATGTTCCCCTGTAGAACGGGTGGGGTGGAGAGAAGTCCCATTTAGGGCTGAGCACTTGGTTTTATTCTCAGCACTTTGACTAGTTATCATACCCCAACTTGATCCTGACCTCTGTGCCCTGGGAAAGAGAAGGGGCCGGAGGAAAAAAAAATTGGTATTAATTAGCCATCTGATGTAGGTCAGGCACAGTGACTGAGGTTTTACAAGTTAGACAAGAACACTAGAGACCCCATTTCACACAAGTGGGAAGGCCAAAATTCAAAGAGAAGAGAGCCCTGTTTTGTTAGTATGGCCAGGCCATGTCCAACACAGTTTTTCTGCAGACGAATCACTCAGAGATCTTGTTGAAGGACAGATTCTGGTTCGTGGGCCTACTAAGGCCATAGGTAATGAATACCACAAGTCCTCAAAACATGACAAGACCCTGGCACACTCTAGTGCTTCGCGAATCACTCAGAGATCTTGTTGAAGGACAGATTCTGGTTTGTGGGCCTACTAAGGCCATAGGTAATGGATACCACAAGTCCTCAAAACATGACAAGACCCTGGCACACTCTAGTGCTTCCCCAAGCTGCTGGCCCTGCTGCCGATGACGGTCTCCAAGGATGTCTGAGTTTGGGTGTGTGCCCACATGTCCTATATGACCACCTGTCCTCTACCTCCAGACATGACCCTGACCTGGGTCCTCATCTTTCCCAGGTATCCAGCAAAAGCGTTACCCAGAGAGTGCTGAAGTTCTCTGTGTACCATGTGGACAGGCAGAAGAAGCACCAGCTCCTGGGTCAGGTGCTGTTCCCACTAAAGAATGAGACCCTGGCCAGGGATTGCCACCGCATCATCTGGAGAGACCTGGAAGCTGAGACCCTGGAGGTAAGGTGGTTACCAGTCACATGCCACCTGGTGGCAGCACTACCTTGGGCAGCCAAGGTGTGCTCAGGGCCCACAGAGTACCTGCTGACCAGCATCTGCACTTAACACATGGCACCACACTACAGTGCCTCAGGGAGTTGGGCTCAGGTCCCAAGACAGAAGATGAATCCACATTTAAGCAGGGAGGGGACCCTGAGGTCATTCAAGGAACCTGCCAGGTAATCTGGGACAATTAATCCAGAAATCCAAAATCTGGAATGATCCAGTGTTCACAACTTTTCAAGTGCCAAGTAGAAAATTCCACACTATAAAACTTTGTTGTATTCTCAAAATAACAATCATTATAGTGTATGTGTAATGTGTATGCACAAGTGTGTACAGATGCACACACCCATGCCATGCATGAGGAAGCCAGAGGAGGAAGACATCGAGTGTCTTCCTCTATGCCTTATGCCTTTTATCTTTTTGTTTGTTTGTTGAGACAGAGTCTCCCGATAGCCCCAGCTGGTTCTGAACTCACTATGTAGACCAGATTGGTCTCAATCTCACAGAGACCTGTCTGCCTCCTCCTCCTAAGTGTTGGTACTAAAGGCTTGCACCATAAGTCTCTTCAAATCCCCAGACTTCAGTTTCCCCATCGGGAAGGGTTCTCAAAGGAGACCATGCAAACGTATCACCTGCACCTTAGCTTGTGAGGAGGGAGGGAGTCACTATGGGGCTCTGTTGCTCCCCTGCTACCTACCAGAATGACCAGGGTGGGCGCTTCCATCTCTGCCTCCCTAGCCTCCCTCGGAGTTCGGTGACCTCCAGTTCTGCCTTTGCTACAATGACTACCTGAGCCGCTTGACTGTGGTTGTGCTCTGGGCCAAGGGTCTCCAGCTCCAGGAGGACAGGAGTGTTGCCAGTGAGTTACCTGGGGAAGATCCCTCCTGGTGAGCCTGGGCCTGGGGATTGAGTCTGACCTTACTACCAGGTGTCCATTTGAGCCTAATGCGCTCATGACTAAACGTTCACCCCCTCCTGTGACCTGCCCTGACCTCCTTCTGTGGACACTTCTGGTACCAGAAGCTTCATCTAAGGATCCAAGGGTTCTGCACTGACTGAAGAGTTTGTCCTGTTCTTCCTCTTTCCTGAGCAATGTCTTGGTACCTTGAACTATTCTGCCTGCCTGCCTCACAGCTCCAGTCCCAAAGGGTTCAACCCCTCACCTCCCTTTCCTGAGGAAGTGCCCCTGCTCCTTGGGATGCTGACACCCCAGTAGTTTTGCTACTTCTTCAGCCTTCCAGAACACTGGTACTGTCCTGCTCACCTCAGACCTGCCAGGTCCCCAGAGAGGTGGAGGTTGTCTGCAACCTGCTGAAGTTCAGAACCTCTGAACTCATCCAGGCCCCTACCCCAGCCCCCAGTCTCTGGATGAGCAGGTGTTTAAGGAGCCCCAAGGCCCAAGCACCCAGAAGGCAATGGCTCCCCAGCAGGAAGGGTGGCTGTGGTGCCAAGCTCCAGCAAGCAGGACCAGCAGATCCTGGGTCCTTCCAGAACTCAAGGAAGGAAGGGGAGGGAAGCCAAGTTTCCATGAGCCATAAACCACTATATTAATCAACTGTTTCCTCCTGTCACATCCTCTGGCTTTAGCAGCTGAGGGTAATGGGGACCTGGCACTTGGGGAGGGGAGCACATGCCCTCCTACCCAGATATCCCACTCCAGGAACTGTACTTTTGCCCACTTCTCCCACCCACTAGTGTATGCGCCCTGCCCCACAGGTGTGTTTGTCAAAGTGTCTCTGATGAACCACAACAAGTTCGTCAAGTGTAAGAGGACTACGGCTGTGCTAGGCTCTATCAACCCTGTGTACAATGAGACCTTCAGCTTCAAGGCCAACATCAATGAGCTGGACACTGCTAGCCTTAGCCTGATGGTGCTGCAGAGCACAGAAGGGGACAGTAAGGCTTGGGGGTGGGAAGTGAGAGACATGGTATTGGGACAATGCAGAGGAGGAGCTACTGAGTCACTTGTAGGCATAGTGAATGGCCAACCACAAGAAGAGGTATCCCTGTTCCTGGGTAAAGAAATTAGCTTTCAGAGAAGCTAAGATACTTGCCTAAGGCCACACAGCTTGTCATCAGGAGAGCTGGGGCTGATGCCTAGCTTTAGTCCAGTTGGACTCTGTCTGTGGTACCCTAGAAAGAGGCTAAGGGGTGGTCTCTGCTCCCCAATTCTGGGCAAATTGCCAGAAGAGGTCTGAAGGTCAGGAGGTCAGGAGACTACAAAGCTGCCTCTGCTACCAGCCCAGTGACCTGTGCTGTGAGTGTTCTGTACCCCCCGTTTCCTCGTGCCTTCTAGATGAGGCTTCAAGGTCCTGAATAGGTTATCCCTATTCAGTTAGTTGTCCTGAACTGGAGCCATGGGGCTGTGATTTGTTACAAGGACTAGACTTAGGACCTTCTTCCCTATAGCAACTGGTAGGTGGGTGTTATTGCTCAGTGTTCTTCCAGAATGTGTAAGAAGGCCTTTCTTCTGGCCAAGTCCTTTTCCTGTGTTAGCAATTCAACTTGCAGCAAGCTTCACATGGCCCAAAGCAGGCAGTGGGGCAGTGAAGGACAGGGGTGGTATCCCTGCAGGTCAGGCTTTCACCAGGTCTCCCCACTGCAGGTTCGGAGGGGAAAGAAACAGCCCTGAGTTCCTTGTGCTTAGAGTGGAGGAGCTTGCTACTTCTTTCCAGAGAAGAGTGAATGAGATACAGAGAGAGAAATCAGCAGAGACATTGGGATGAGGGTGATGTGGTTTCTGTATTCAAGAGCATGACAGAGCTCTCCCTCCCCTGCAGAGAGTCACCCATTGGGCCGTGTGGTAGTGGACCCTTACATGTATGCCCGAGGCAGAGAGCTGGAACACTGGGATGAGATGCTCCGCAAGCCCAAGGAACTAGTGAAGTGCTGGCATGCGCTCTGCTGCCCCTCTGAGCCCTGAGTCAGTGCCAGGACCGCGTTCTGCTGCAGAAGC